TAGGGCAGGAGAAGGGAAGAGACACCACTATGGGAAAGACCTAAGGACTCCTCCTCCTTTTTGGTTATCACTCCTCCAAGATCCTCATTGTCCTGGCAGAATTCTACCCTGGAGGATAACTTCTCCCTCCTCAGAGAGCTCTCTCACCCGAGCTGTGAGGCCTGGCCGCCATCTTCCATGTTTGCCTGCTACAAGCACCTTGAGATTGGGACAGGCTGGTAGGCAGTCTGCGCAGAGCATTCAATGCAACAATAAAAATTTGCTTGCTCTATGTAAAGCACCGAAGAGAGAAGAGAAAACAAAACCAGTTGCTGCCCTCAAGGAACTTATTTTTTACTAGGGGTATACAACATGTTGAAGAGATAAAGAAATGCAAAATCGTTTGAGGAAGGAGAGAGGACTAACAACCAGGGGGATCAGGAGAGGGTTCATGTAGGGCAGGGGTGTTAATCTAGTCCATGAATAGATTTCGGAGACTCTGTTAACTTGTTTGTTTAGTATCTTGATAACTGAGTTCATTAAAAATTAATTTCCTTTGCAATCCTGTGTATTTTATTTTATGCATTTAAAATATTATTCTGAAATAGGGTCTTTAGGCTTTAGCACACTGCCAAAGGGATACAAAAAACCTGTTAAGAGCCCCTGATGTAGGAGGTAGCACCCAAGCTGAGCCTCAAAGGAAGTGATACGAACTCTAAAAGCTGGAGATGATAAGGGAATGTGTTCCAGGCATGAATAGGGATAGTTTATGCAAAGACATTGAGATGGAATACCAAGTTTGGGAAATACCAAGTAGGGCTATTTGGCAGGAATGTAGAATGTGTGAAGAAGATTAATGTGAAATAAACTGGGAAATGTTGGGAAACCAGATCATGAAGTGCTTTAAATGCCAGAGTAAAGAGTGTGTATTTCACTGAAAATTTTTGAGAAGGGAAGTGACATGGTTAGGTTTGAGGAAGATTGCTTTGACATGTATGTGAAGGATAAATTGCATAGGGGAGAAACTTGAAGAAGGGAGACCAATTAGGAGGCTACTTACAACAGTCCAGCTTAGAAATGACGAGAGCCTGAACCAAGAGAGAATAGGGGAGGTATGCATGGAGCAGAGTGGACAAATTTAGCAGCAGATTGAATGTAGAGAAAGAGGAAGAGCAACAGAAAAAGAGAGGAGAAGTGGGGGGGGGGAAGGGGACAGGGAGAAGGAAAAAGGGGAGAGGAAGATAAAGGAGGGAGAAAGGGAGAGGGAAAATTTTTCAGCTTACAGGCTGGAATAGAAAGAGATGGTGTCTTGATTTTTCAGTATCTAAAATCGATCATCAGATCAGTTGCAAGGAAAAACCATACGGAATCAGTGTGGCTAGGAAATACGAATGTTCTACGTCCCCTACTGAAAAATAACACCTAAAATGAAAGGTGAAAGTAACAGGGATGACCAAGCCAGGAGAGGAGAAGGGTAAGCGGAAACAAACAGATAAGCTTTTTTCGAGACTCTGAAAGGACACGATTAATTATACTAAGAACGGGAACCCAACAAACTTCCTCTCCTTTTGACGACAGAACCAGGGTAATTGGGCTAAAATTATAGCTAGAAACATTAAGGTTAGACCTCAGATGGAAGAAAGAAAGAAGGAAAAACAAACCAGATTTCTTCTGTTCAGAAACATTCTTAGCTTCTTTTTAGAGGGGAGGGGAATGAGGTATAATTGAGAGAATCCAGGTTTGTTTCTGGGCTCAGCACTGAAACTCATGAGAAGATACAGGTGCAAAGACAGTCCCCAATATGAAAAGACCTATCTTCTTTAACTAGCAATACCACTACTTAGCATGTAACGTAAGGGGAAGAAAAATAGTGGGGAAAGGTTCCCAGATACACAGAAATATTTTTAGCGGCCTTTTTTTTTTTTTTTTTTTGGAATGGGAAGGAACTGGAAAGTGAGTTCTCAGTGCTTGAGGAAAGGCTGGACAAATAACAGTATATGAATGTGTAAGGGATGGGGCCATGATTAGGGTAATCTATTGATTAATTCCCATTCAATGTTAGGAGAACGTCAGGGCTTCCAACTTCTGCACAGGAACGCTGTTGACTGAATGTATAGAACGTATGGAAGAGCCTTTATTTCAGCTCTCCTAGAAAAGGGGTTTTCTATTTAAAGGATTATAAGACGTCCCCCTTCCCACAACTCCGGAAGCAGTTGATGTTGCTTTGTGATAGAAGGACAAGGCATTATTAAACATATGCTTCGCATGTGACCTGAGAGGGGAGTTCTGTTTTGAACCCTGACCTCCTGTCTGGAGCAAAATGGATTTTGAATTCTAAAGAAGCATTTTCACTGGTGTTCCCATGCCTGGAATTCTCTTCCTCCTCATCTCCATCTCCTGTTTCCCTGGCTTCCTTCAAGTCCAAACTAAAAATCCATCTTCTATGGGAATCCTTTCTTGGTCCACCTTAATGCTACTGCCTTCCCTCTATTGATTATCTCCAATTTAGCCTGTATATATCTTGTTTGCGCATGATTGTTTTCATGTTGTCGTCTCCCCTCCATTAGACTGTAAGCTCCTTGAGAGAAGAGACTGTCTTTTACCCCCTTATATCCCTCCCACTTAGCACAGTGCCTGGCACATAGCTGGTGCTTAATAAATGCTTATGAGTGATGGAGCATGATCCCAGACTCTAGCCTTCTAGCCAGCAAAGGGAAAGAAGATTTCCTGGCACCAACAGTTTGGGCAATTGTCTCATGGGTATGCCCAACTCTAGAGCTCGCGAATTAGATTTTCTAGAGAGATTTCCTGAAGCAGTGTGCTCCTTGGAGCAAAAAGGAAATACTCCACATTATTCCTGCACAACGTCCTACTTGGAGAACAAAGCCAGTGAACAACTTAGAGAGTGTAGCAGATCTGGCAGAAAGAAGATTGCTTTTTCGGTAGCCCCCAGTGTTTAATTTCCAATGAAGTCTAAGCCACAGGGTGGCACTATGGATTGGTAAGGGACCCTGTAAGAGAGAAAGATTTCACCAGAATTTTAGGGTATTGATCTGATAGTAATCCTGAGTTTAATTCCCTTTTGGCAGGAGCTACCAGGTGATTTGAGTGGATTTCTTATCTGTTCACAGGTTCTCTCCAGTCCTTCATGCCTTTTGAATTTTCTATGGAGGCTGAATCAAAGGTTCTTCCATACTCTGTATGTATTCAGACAACCAAGTGCCTATCCAGAAGCTGGGAGCCCTATTGTTTTCATTTGGGAAACCAAGACATGTGTCATATTTAGATATGTTTCTGAAGTACTCCAGGTGGAGGCATTGTATCAAGGAAAGAAAATGACCCTCATGGATCAGCCCCCAAGACCAGACCCTGTCCACATGAGCCTAGAATGCTTGAGAAGGCTGAGCCACAGGTTACGCATGTAAGAATGTCTGCAAGAAATGATAGGAAGACTTCTGAGAACTTGGAAAGACTTGTAGGAACTGGTGTAGATTGAAGTAAGCAGGACCAGGAGAGCAATTTACACAATGACCACAATAATGCAAGGGAAAACAACACCACAAGACTTCATAGCTCTGCCCAATCATGACTTCAAAGGTCTGATGATGGAGCACACCTCCCTCTTCTCAGCAGACAGGTGCTGAAGAATAAGAAATACCTTTTCAGACACGATGACTGGGTTGACTTGTTTTGCTTAACTCTCTTTGTTACAAGGGAGAGTTCTGTTGGGGTGTTGGGGTGGGAGAAGAAAAGTGTAATGAACATGAATAAATATTTTTTTAAAGACCTGACTTTTTAAAAAAAAAAACAACTTCATTTACAAAAGTTCAAGCTTCTTCGAAAATGTCATTTCACTATTCATGTTTGCTACTCCATACTCTCAAGCTGATTTGAATGCCAAAAGTGGGGAAGACACAGGCAAGGTCATGTATAATGGGAAGAGGAGGCGGGTCATTGTCCTGAGATATGTCCTGAGATTAAAAGAAGAGGAAGTTGTCATCACGTGGGCTGAATCCTCTATGGTTAATTTACAGAAAGACATGAATCCAGTGAAACGATGGAAACAGTAGAGTAACAAGAAAGAGGATTCTTCCCTTTACCAAGGAAGGTATTGGAATATCAAGCTCTCCTAAGGCAGCAAAATATTAATTTATAGCTTATTAACAACCTGAATGACAATCCCTTGTCGTGTGCTCGCCTTATCTGTGTATATGCTTATTCTCCTAGTAGACTGTAAACTCGTTTTTAAAATTATTTTTTGCAATGCAAGGATCTAAGACATCTCCAAAGGTCTCATAATGGAAAATGCTATCCACATCCAAAGAAAGAACTAGGAAGTTTGAATGCAGATTGAAGCATACTGTTTATTACTTTTTTCCTTCTGTTTTGTTTTGTTTCCTCTTTCTTGTGGTTCCTCCTATTGGTTCTAATTCTTACTTACAACATCATTAATGTGAAAATATGTTTAATAGGAAAAACATTTTTTAAAATTATTTTTTCTCTTTGAAAAAACACAACCTTTTTAAAATTGTTCCCTTTATTCCCAAATGTGCCTCTTCTCCTCCCCTCCTCTGACAGTCATCTCTTGTAACAAAGAATTTTAAAAAGCAAAAGGAAAAAGAAAACGGCCCCTCAAAATTATCCAATCCATCAATGAATCTGACAGTATATCACTGTTCTGTACCCATAGCCCCCCACTTTTCCAGTGAACAGAAGGACATATTTTCACCTTTTCTTAAACCAAGCTTGGTAGAGTGTTCTTTCCTTAAAGGCGAGGATTCTTTCTTGGTTTTGTATCCCCATACACACAGGACAAAGTAGAATCAGAGAAATTCAAATATTTGTCATCTCTGCCACGTAAGAGTCAAACAAAAATAAGGACTAAGAAACTCTGTAATAGTGAAGTAAGCAAAGGGGAAACTCGGATTTGGGAGCACTGTTGGCTTTTGATATCGAAGTTCCACCCGTGGCTTGTTTAGGAACATGCGTCTGTGTATAATCTGACATACACCTATACTTACAAGATTTTCAGGCTGTAGAGACCAGAAAATGCTTGTCCTGGGATGTAGGAGAGGTGATTTCCAGACAGACGACTGTAAAACAGAAGGAAAGAGAATATGAAGGGTTACCTGGAGGGAGGGGTGGGTTTTGTTAGTAATTACAGTCAATTCTCCATTATATGGGAAAGGATTACAGTCTTGGATTACCCATAGCATCCTATCAACTACTCAGCATGGTTCTAAGATACTGACATGATCAGGAAAGGAAGCGGTGAGGGATCCGGGGTCTGGGACAGACAAACAGAGTTAGACACAGAGACAGACAGAGAGTGAGTATATATGTTAGGTATGTGGGTTTCCCCTATTGCATTCCCAAAGCCAATATGTATATGTGTGTGCAAGTAAGTGGGGGAGTATGTGTGCATCCCATGGCATTACAAAACCAAATGTGGCAAACTCTCATTTATCCAGAGGTCTCGGGGAAATTGGCTGTTCTAGTCAATTTAACATTCTGACTCACTGAGAGTTAGCATACTCACCACACAGGGAATGCCAATTTTCAAAGAATACAAAGGAAAAAGTACTCAGTGTGAAAACTACATTAAATATAATTTAATATTTAATGATTCAGAAGGTATTTATTGATCTTGCAGAATCTCTGAGAGATTACTGTGACCACAGAATAATAGACTGTTAGAACTGGAAGAGCCTCTAGAGATTGAGAAATCCAAACCCTGCATTTTGCAGTGGGGTAAACTGAGGCCTGGAGGGGGAAAATGGCTTGCCTAAGTAAATTCTTACTGCTTTAAAAGGTAGAGTTAATTTTGAAGTTGTTTCACTAATAATCATTGATAAGAGCATCTTTATTTTGATATTTATCATGAAAACATTTTTTCCTACTGACCTTGTGGTTTCATTGATGTAGGAGGCTATAAGTGAGGAACTTCCTCTACCAACTCAGATTGACACATTATCTGAAATTTTTTGGGGGGGGTGAGGCAATTGGGGTTAAGTGACTTGCCCAGAGTCACACGGCTAGTTTTTTTTCCTATTATCTGAAATTTAGAGAATTGCCTAGAGTCTTGAAGGTAAAGTGATTTGCCCAGAGTCACAAAGCCAACATGTAGCAAAAGTGAGACTTAGAAACTATATTGGTGGAGAGAAGGGAGCTATAGCGGGGAAAATGTAATCTGGTTATCTGAGCACTCAGATGTGAAGATTCTGAATAAATGGGAATTTGATATAAAAGTGACCTTTGGAGAAACCATAGCTTAGGATCAACTCAGTTCAATAATTTTATTAACCAACTACTCTGTGCAGAACACTGGGTTAGGGGCCTAAAGAGACACAAAATGTAGATGGCACATTCCTTGCTCTTCTTAGGATTCATTGAATCCTCATTCAGGTATTTAATAAGTGACTGCTGTTTGGTTGGTTGATTGAATGAATGAATGAATGAATGATGTAGAAAATGAGGCCTTCTGCTATTCCTTGTGTCATATTCTTTAGTCTTGCTTTCTCCAATTAGTTAAACATATTTTGTAACGAGAGCGTAAGGTAAATTACAGAAAGACTACTATTTCAGGTGTATGTTGGACTAATGATCACTGGGGCAGCTTCCATCATTATAGTTCTGTGATTCTATAAGCTGCATCTCTAATTATAATAATAATTATTATTATAATTAATGATGATAATAAATAGCATTTATATAGCACCTACTATATGCCAGGCACTGTGTTAAGTGCTTTACAAATATTATCTGATTTTACTTTCACAACAACCCTGAGAGATAGGTGCTATTATTATCCCCATTTTTACAGATGAGGAAACTGAGGCAAACATTGCTGTTCATTTTTGTTCACCACCCCAAAATGTCCTCTTACCACCTCACATCTTCATGACTTCCTTTAAGATAGCGGCTTAAGACTGTTTTCTTTAAGAAGTACAGTGAGAAAGTGATGAAACTGGAGTTAAAGACCTGAGGACCAATCCCTTGCTCTGCCACTTAGTACCGCTGTGACCTTGGTCAAGTTGCTTAACCTCTTTGGGTCTCAGTTTCCCCAGCTGCAAAATGAGAAAGTTGTAATATATGACTTATAAGGACCATCCAAGTTTTAGAGTTTTGATTCTATGATATGATGCCTTCACTGGATAATCCCCAGCCACACTCTTCTATCCCAAATCTCCTTTAATTCAACTCAACAAACACTAAGCAACTAGTAAATGCAAGATATTGAGCTAGTTGGTGGGGATACAAAACCAAGAAAAGACCCTTGCCTGAAAGGAAAGGATGTTCCACCAAGCCTGGCCTAAGAAAAAATGAAAATATGTCCCCTTTCATTGGAAAAGTGGGGGACTGTGGGCATATAATATTACATATCCTCATACATACACTATCAGATTACCTGATGGGCTGAATAGTTTTGAGAGGCTATTTTTTTTCTTTTTTGCTCTTTTTATTCTTTATTATAAGAGATATCTATCAAGGGAGGGGAAAAGGATCATGTTCGGAGAGGAAGGGAACATTTTTAAAAGGGTTTTTTTTTTAAAGAGGAAAATAATTTTTAAAAGAGCTTATAGTCTACTAGGATGATAAACATGCACACAGATAATTATATAGCGCAAAACATATATACAAAATAAACACGAGGTAATTTCTGGGAAGAGTCCTAATAACTGAGGGAATCAGGAAAGGCTTCCTGTAAGAGGGGAGATGTGAGCTCATCCTCAAAGAGAGCTAGAGCATCCGAGAAGTAGAGAGGAGGAAGGGGAGCACTTCAAACACAGGAGACAGGCAGCCTGTGCAAAGACAGGGCGGGAAGATCAGATGTCATGCATGAGTAAAGGAAGCATTCCAATGGAGTTAGAAGGCAGAGCACACAAGGAGAAAGCACAGAAAATGAGTCTGGAAAGACAGGTTGGAGCCAGACTATGAAGTGCTTTGGAGCCCAAAAGGATAAGTTTCTATTTTATCCTAGAGACGCCAGGGAGGACCTGGAGCTTCCTGAGTTTGGGAGTGTCTTGGTATGCCCTGTTCTTTAGGAATACCCCTTTGGCTGCTATGGAGAGAACTGGCTGGAGGGAGGGGATTAGAAGCGAGGAGCCCAACTAAGAGTCTGCTACAATAGTCTGGGCAAAAGATGGCAAACACCTAAGCTGCCATCACGGTGGTCACAGGAATGAAGAGAAGAATAGGAATGCTAGAAAAGTGGTGGATGTGGAGTAGACAAGGGACACATGAAATTAATAATCTGTGCTTTAAAATTCACTGGCTTATTTCTCAGCATCAAAATTATTTTCCAGCTATTTCCCTCTTGTAGGTAGGATAATCCCCTCTCCACGTGTATTATCACAGAATTTCAGGACTGGAATAGACCTCAAAAACTGAGTCCATCCCATGCCCCAAGAAGACTCCCACTACAACCTAGCTGTCAAGCGGTTGTCCACACTTAGCTTAAAGACTCCAATGAGTCCGCTGCTTCCTGAGGCACGCCAATGCATGACAAGGCACTTGAATGAGAGACTCTAATGTAGGGATAAGGGCAGCTAGGTGGCTCAGTGGAGAGAGCCCCAGGCCTAGAGTCAGGAAAAGCTAAGTTCAAATACAGTCTCCGACACTTACCAGTTGTGTGACCCTGGGCAAGTCACTTACCCCTGTTTGCCTCAGTTTTCTCATCTGTAAAATGACTAAAACAACAAGAGGGATACAAATTCTAATGTTGCAGGATAGTACACCACTTTCTCTGGAGGAATACGGATAATATATTTTTAATAAAAATACCATGTTTTAGCATTAATAATAATAGCTGATATTTATATAGAATTTTAATGTTTACAAAGCACTCTACATAAGTTATCTCATCTGATCCTCACAGCAACCCTGAGAAATAGGTGCTATTATTATCCCCATTTTACAGATAAGGAAACTGAGGCACAGAGGTTACGTGATTTTTCCTAGGATTAAACAGATTTGAACTCATGTCTTCCTGACTCCAAGATCAAATGAAATCATTTGTAAATGCACAGCACAGCGCCTGGCATACAGTAGGCACTTAATAAATGCTTGTTCCCTTCCCTTCTCCCTTCTAATTCCCAGCTTTATCCACTGTGGCACTAGCTGAATGAAGGAAGATATTCAGTCACCAGCATCATCTACATTTCCTTTCTCTCCCAGCTCCTTCTTAACTTTCCCCTCTTTCCTCTTGCCTGGGAATCCCTAGCTCAGATCCCCCTCCTTGAGGAGGCCCAGAGCCAGATCCCCATGGATGCCCTCTCCCAGGCCACAGTCCTGGGCCTCCCACTTAAACAGGCTTTGCCTGCCTCCAGCCCACCCTCATCCCCAGCCATGGCAAAGAGCGGCTTCTACTCACAGCTCCTCCAGGAAGCGCAGGTGAAGGAAGAGTCCAGGCTGGAGTTCAGTGAGGTTGTTCATGCTCAGATCCCTAGGAGGAAAGCAAGAAAGCACGAGGAAGTGAGATCATTGCTGCCATGGTGACTGTTGCTGTCTAGTCCACAACCCCGTGCCCAGAGGTCATCTCCAGACCCACGCAACCAGCGCTCCAGACTCCTTGGTGGTCTCTTCAGATTCCTGCCCCTGGCTGCTGACTGGTGAGTTTTCACCTGATTTTACCGAGTCCCAGGCCTACCATGCCTCTTCTTTGGCATCTCCAGGCTTCCTCAATTGCTTCCCCTTTCCTCCCTTCTAATTCTTCTCCCCAGAGGAGCAGTCTTCTATTAGAAAGTAAGCTTCCTGAGGACAAGGACTGTCTTGATTATTCATATTTGTATCCCCAGCGTTTAGCCCAGTACCTGACCCTTGGTGAGCGCTTAATCAATGCTTTTTTATTCACTCGTTCAGAGAGCCACAACAGGAGTTCCTATAACAAATATCACCACCTCAAATACTAGATGCCAGCTGGGTATTCCAAGCTTTCAGAGGCCAAAATGGACTGAGAGGCAGGAGGACATCCTGGACTCATTTCTATGTTTTCTCCCTTTGAGGCTGCGCCCTCTCTGTGCCTCAGTTTCCTCACATTCCCTTTATCTCATCTGCCTCAGGGTCATAGAAGAATAAGATCTTAGAGCTGGAAGGGTTCTTGGAGATTGTCTCAGTCAAAACCCTCATTTTACAGAGGAAGAAGCTGAAGCTTAGAAAGGCCAAGCTATTGACCCAAGGTCACACAGCTAGTTGTTGGTAGTAGAACCAGAACTAGAACCCAGATCTCCAATACTTTTTCCCCCCACTACTGTGCACTTATGATGCTAGTTGAGACTGGAACAGCAGAGGGATCTGAATTCCTTAAAAGGAAACAGACTAGAGAAACCAAAGGTTACTCTGCTGTCCAGCACATATTCCTGTAAAAGACGTGACTATTAGGGACAAATTTCCAGACGAATCACTCTAACGGTTTTTTTTTTAAAAGGGGGCTTTTTATCTAGAATACTCCAAGGACCGGAGGATAGGGGTGAAGGAAGACCGTTGGCTTCAGAAGTCATTCAAGTCTATCCCTTTCTCCTTCTAGGTTTTTCTGTGTCTCTCTTTATTTCATTAATGTTTATCAAAGCAGAGGTCTGGAATCTCCCCCCTTCCCAACCTCCAGAGAGCGCAGGGTAAATTATTCCGAGATGAATAATTTGAGAACCAGTTTCTATAGCAGGATCCCAACTGAAATCACTCTGCCTTTGCTGTCTTATCTAAGATGGCAAACTGCCCAGCCTATGTGGCCCTTTCAGTGCCACCTTCCCTTTGACAAGCCCTATACTTGCTAAAATAACAATCTGAGAATCATAGATCTAAAGTTGGAAGGACCTCAGACCTCCCAGGCCTGCTAGTTCAACCCTCTCACTTTACACATGAGGAAACTGGAGCCTAAAGAGATAAAGTGACTTGCCCTGAGGTCACATAGGCAATAAGTGTCAAGAGGCAAGATTCATACCCAGGTCCTCTGACTGCAGAGCCAGCACTCTTTCCCCTCCAGGCCCCTGCTTACCTCCCCCAGTTAGTATGTTTCCAGAAGGAAATTTTCAGGGGAAAGAAAAAAAAAGATGCAGGTGACAGAAGAAGGTAGATGGGAGGGTCTGGGAAAAGAGTGGTCTTTCAGGGGCAGTTAGGTGGTGAAGCGGATAGAGCACCAGCCCTGGAGTCAGGAGGACCTGAGTTCGAATGCGGTCTCCGACACATAACACTTACTAGCTGTGTGACCCTGGGCAAGTCACTTAACCCCATTGCCTAGTCACAAAAAAAAAAAAGAAGAGTGGTCTTTCCAATGTTCTGAGTCGCCTAGGGATATGGGGGCTCACATCACATGTGTTGATCTGTGAGCTGCATCCTCACATAGACCAGAATCAGGAGAGTGGGGCAATTTATGGGGATGAGGTAAGAGATGAGTAGCTTTTTCTCTGTGTGCATTGCCATGTGTTCATCAACGTTACAAGAGCCTTTAGGTGCCTCCCAGTTTGAGCTCTGTTCTAGACCAACTAGGTCCCTGCCCTCAGTGAATTTAGAGTCAAAGTCAGATACCCTAATGTGATTGGCCATACACAGGATGCAAGGACAACACTTAACATGAGCAATAAAGGCATTTATATCTTAAAACAATCAAGTGTTCCTCCTATAAGGAGAAGCACATTTTTTAGGGATGGGGGGCTAAGGAGGTCACCATAGGAGTGCCATTCAACTCAAGAAACATTTCTTAAGCACCTAGTATAGGCAATAGAGAAGAAACTAGACAGTCACTGCCCTCAAGGAGCTTACATTCTCCTGAAGAGGGTTCAATGGATACACATATAGGTAGATATAATACAAGGTATATAGTTATGGGAGCAAAGAAGAAATCTGGACAGAGGCACTAGGAATATCTGAAGGCGGAGTTCTGTTCTTAGTTTGGATAGATCAGGAGAGGCACCTAAGCTCAGCCTTAGAGGAAGACTGGGATCCTGAAAGGTGCTGATGAGGAGGAGGATATCAACCTATGAGGACTTCATGGAAGAGGTAAGATTTCAAGCTTTGTTTGATTTAGGAAATAGAACACCTGGAAACACTGGGTGGGTACTTGGGAGAAGGAAAAGAAAGTGTGGTACAAGAACGCCCACTGGTATTCTCCCTGGCAGAATTCTCTCTAAAGGAACAATCCATGAGTACCTATAATGACACCTAGATACCCCTCGGTATCACACATGGAAGTGGCAAAGTCTCATGTATATGTAGGAAGGGTATTTGATCTGTGTTTTTGTGTCTGAACTATGTGTCAGAGGTTGTTTGTGAATGCCTGGGTGTACAACTGATGTTTGTGTCTGTGCGTGTGCCTGACACATTTGGCTACCAGGGAACACTGTTTCAAGTTCCCAACAGCTATTGCCCACCCTTTGTAGCTCCCACCCACCTCCCCCAGGGGGACAGATGTGAGACCAGTCCAGACCACCACTATATTGGTCTCCTCAGTATGTCTTGAATTTGCTTCCCTTCCCCAGAAATCCACTTTCGTTGCTGAATCCTGGCCTTGTCCTTTTCCCCAAGAACCCCCACATAAGGTTTATTTTTGTTGCTCTCAAAGACAGGCTGCAGTTAGTCTAGGGAGGGGGGGCAGGGGAGAGAAGGAGAGAATGCATTCTGGAGCCCAGCTCTGATCTATAAAAAGACTGTTTAGTCTCAAATGTTTTATCTTTGATAAGGCCTGGGCTCGATCTCAATGGCCTTTAAAGAAGGCGTTTCAGGCCTGGGCAGGTTCGATCAAGAAAATCTGAACGCTGAAGTCCAAACACTCCTTTGTCTGAAATTCTCTCTCCCCACCGGGAACAAGATGGCCATCTTTGGGGCAAGATGGGGCCTTGTTCTGGGAATCAGAGCATGTTTGAGCTGGAAAGCAACCTTAGAAATTATCTAATCCAAACCCCTCAGCATATAAATGAGAAACTAAGGCTTGGATTGTTTTAAGTGACTTGTCCAAGGTCATACAACAAATTAATTCTTGAGTCAGAACTAAGACCCATATTTCCTATTTCACAGTGGCTGGCTCTTTCCATGACTTCAACAAGATTGAGTCAAAGAGGTATTTTTGATGGTGATGATAGCCATAAGAACAAGTTACATTTATACAGTGCTTCAAGATTTACAACACACTTTTTTTTACAACCCTTTGGGGTAGGTTTGGAAGAGTATTATTGTCCCCATTTTACAGATGAGGAAATCAAGGGTATTAGTGACAAGTCCAAGGTTACAGTTACTAAACTTGGGACAGCAGCTTGGTATAGTGTGGATAGAGTCCTGGACATAGTGGGGGATGGAGGGACTGCATTCAAATCCCACCTCAGATACTAGCTGGCTGTGTGAAGCTGAGCAAGTCATTTAACTCTTTGAGCCTCAGTTTTCTCATCTGCAAAATAGGGATAATAACTGCTCTGAGAGTCAGCGTGGCATAGTGGGTTGAGAAATAGCCCTGGAAGAAGACCTAGATTCCAGTCTGACCTCCACCACATACTAACTTCAGGACCTTGGGCAAGTCACTTAACCTCAGTGGCACTGTCTAAGACTGTTACAGAGCAAGGGCCAGTCAATATTGGTAAGTGGAATTGTTTCATCTCAGAAATCTCAGGTCAGATTTTTTTTTTAAATGCTCCAAGGGTTGCTTAAAGGATTGAATGAGGTATGTACACGCCAGTGATTATTACCATCAAATTTCATACAGCTGGAATTTGAACAAGTGGGGGGGGAATAAGCATTTATTAAGCACCTACTATGTGCCAGGCACTGTGCTAAGTGTTTTATAGCTATTAAACCAAGAGATATTATCTCATTTGATCTTCACAACAACCTTGGGAGGTAGATGCTAGTATGATCCTCTTATTTTACAGATGAGGAAGACAGAGGTTAAGTGACTTGCCCAGGGTCATAAAGTTAGTAAACATCTAAAGCCTGTGATTCAAACTTAGGTCTTCGTGACTTCCGGTCCAGCGCAGCTTCCAGATGTTGTGACTGCATCACCTGCACTATGCCGCGGGCCCCCCCCCCCACATACACACTGCCCCTAGAACGGAAGCAGAAAGGGAAGGAAGCAGGAGTACTACCAAGTTTTTGAGACTGGTCAACCGAGCGGGTTTTCAGATTCAGCCCAGGTGCGGCTCAGGTGTAAGGATGAGTGGGGCAGACTCTGTGGGGCCGGGGAAGGGAGGGGGCTGGAGTGGTGGGACTACTGGAATTCAGGTTTGCAAGATGGAAAACCTGGAGTCTTTTCCGTCTCCTCCCCCCCCCCCCCAGAGTCCCCCTCTCGCCGACAGGGAGGTTGGAGGTGCTGCGAAAACGATTATTTCTAAATATTTACCCTGAGCATTTCTCAACTTGTATCCACAGGCTCAGGAACCGGAGTTCAAGGGGAACGCGGGGCATGTGACTCAGGGTTCATAACTCACCTGTCCCTCCAGGGGCTGCTTCCTAAGCTTTGAAGTC